GTAATTATCTACAAAGAACTTTCGGAAAATAAAAAGAAATCAAAACTCCGTCAAAATCATCCTGGCGTCGACATCTCACAGAGCAGGGCTGCTTCGGATCTTGGAGAGGCGGCGACGCTGCAACAGAGGCAGCACGCTGAAAAAGGCGCCAGGAAACCATTTATTTCAATTATTCTCGAGAAACTTCGATATAAAGTGCTATATTTTAAAAGAAAATTGCAGTTTTTCAAAAACATCTTTTTTTCAAACCGATCGCGATTTTGTCATTTCCCAAAATCGATCTGATTTTAGCAGGTACTAACATCGCCCACCTGCCGAGTTTTCGATTTTAAATTTTCAGTTTTTCAATTTTCCAAAATTTGAATCTTTCAATTTTAAAAATTTGCTAATATTTAATTTAAAATTTCCCAAGTTTTCAATTTTTATTTTTTCAATTTTTTGATTTTTAACTCTTTAAATCTACGAATTGCAATTTTTCGTTTGGCTTTATTATTTTTAATTCTTACAATTTTTAGATTCAGTCTTCCGATTTTTTAATTTTTGTTTTTTCAATGTTTCCTTTCTTCAAATTTTTGATTTACAACTTTTACATTTTTCATTTTTTTTGTTTCATTAATTTTATGATGTGTAACACTTCGAGTTTTCATTTTTCAATTTTTCAGGTTTTCGACTTTCCAAATTCCAGGAATTCTCAATTTTTCAATTTGCAATTTCTAATTTTACGATTTTTCTAAGTACCTGTTTTATAAATCTTTTTTTCGTTGTGAAATTTTTCAGTATTTTAATTTTTTAATTTTTCGATTTCCTATTTTTCGGTTTTCAATTTTTCGTATCTTCAAATTTTCGATTCACAGTTTTTGAATTTTCAATTTTTTTGCCAAATTTCGGTTAGTGTCTAGATTTTGCCGTTTTTCGATTTGCAATTTCAGGAATTTTCAAATTTTCGATTTGCCATTATTCGTTTCAGTTCCTTATTTTCTTTATTTTTTAAATTTTTCGGGCTTCCAATGTTCTGATTTTTTTAATTTTGCTTTTTTTCAATGTGAAAATTTTCAATTTTTGGGTTTTCAATTTTTCGATTTGCAATTTTTGAGTTTTCCAATTTTCAATTTGCAATTTTTCGATTTTTGAGTTTTCGACTTTTAGATTTTTTAATTCTTCGTTTTTTCAATTTTAGATTTTTCAGTTTCTCGATTTTTCAGTTTTTCGTTTCTTCAATTTTTGATTGGCAATTTTTCGTTTCAGTTTTTCGTTTTCTTAATTTTTTCAATGTTCTGACTGTATAATTTGTCTTTTTTTCAATGTGAAATTTTCCAATTTTTGGGTTTCCCAATTTTTCCATTTGAAATTCTTCGTTTCAGTTCTTTATTTTCTTTATTTTTTCAATTTTTCGGGTTTTCAATTGTCTGATTTTATAATTTTTTTTAATGTGTAAATTTTCAATTTTTGGGTTTTTAAATTATTCTATTTGCAATTTTTATTTTCTCCATTTTCAATTTTTCGTGCTTTCAATATTCTAATTTTATAATTTTCCGTTTTTTCAATACGAAGTTTTTCAATTTTTGAGTTTTTCAATTTTTCGATTTGCAATTTTTAATTTCAGTTTTTTATTTTCTTAATTTTTTAAATCTTACCGGTTTTCTAAATTCCTGCGCTTTATAAATTTTTGTCTAATGCGAAATTTTTTAATTTTTGAAGTTTTTTATTTTTCGATTTGCTATTTTTTGGTTTTCAATTTTCGGTTTTTCAAATTTTAAATTTTATAATTTTTCGTTTCTTCAATTACGATTTGCAATTTTTCGAGTTTTTAAGTTTAAATTTTTCCGTTTTTCAGCTTTCCAACTTTTGAATTTGTCAATTTTAAAAATTAACAATACTTATTTTGATTTACAATTTCTCAAATTTTTTATTTTTCAATTTTTCATTTCTTTAACTTTCTATTTCTTCAAAACTACAACTTGCAATTTTTCGTTTGGAGATATTATTTTCTCTATTTTTACAATTTTTAAATTTTTCAGTGTTTTTTCAATTTCAGTTTTTTCAGTTTTTCGATTTTCCTAATTTGGGTTTTATCAATTTCCAAGTTGTGCAATTTTTCGATTTGCAATTTTTGGGTTTTTCAATTTTCAATTTGCAATTTTTTGGATTTTTGAGTTTTCAATTTTTGATTTGCAATTTTTCGTTTCAGTTTTTCGTTTTCTTAATTTTTTCAATGTTCTGATTGTATACCTAATTTGTCTTTTGTTCAATATGAAATTTTTCAATTTTTGGGTTTCCCAATTTTTCCATTTGAAATTCTTCGTTCAGTTCTTTATTTTCTTTATTTTTTCGATTTTTCGGGTTTTCAATTGTCTGATTTCATATATTTTTTTTAATGTAGAAATTTTCAATTATTCTATTTGCAATTTTTCGTTTCTCAGTTTTTTATTTTCTTCATTTAACAATTTTTCGGGCTTTCAATATTCTGTTATTGTAGTTTTTCTTTTTTATCAATATGAAATTTTTCAATTTTTGAGTTTTTCAATTTTTCGATTTGCAATTTTTAATTTCAGTTTTTCATTTTTTTAATTTTTTAAATTGTAGTATTTTATTTTTCGATTTGCTATTTTTTGGTTTTGAATTTTCGGTTTTTCAAATTTTAAATTTTATCATTTTTCGTTTCTTCAATTACGGTTTGCAATTTTTCGAGTTTTTAAGTTTAAATTTTTCCGTTTTTCAAATTTCTCAAACTTTTAATTTTTCAATTTTTCGTTTCTTTAACTTTTTATTTCTTCAAAACTACGACTTGCAATTTTTCACTTGGATTTATTATTTCCTCTATTTTTACAATTTTTAGATTTTTCAATGTTTTTTCAATTTCAATTTTTTCAATTTTTTGTTTCTTCAAATTTTCGAGATCTCATTTTTCAATTTTTCAGTTTTTCGATTTTCCAAACTTTGCTTTTTTCAATTTCTAAGTTTTGCAATTTTTCAATTTGTAATTTTTAATTTCGTGTTTTAATTTTTTTTATTTTTTAAAATTTCGGGTTTATCCAAGTCCCTGCTTTATGAGTATTTTCCTCTATGTGAAATCTTTCAATTTTTTGGATGTATCAATTTTTCGATTTTGTCATTTTTCGTTTGTTCAAATTTTCAATTTACAATTTTTAAATTTTTCATTTTTTTACGTTGTGTAACACTTCGAGATTTAATTTTTCAATTTTTTAGTTTTTCGATTTTCCAAATTTTGATTTTTCAGTTTTTCGATTTGAAGTTTCAGAAATTTTCAATTTTTCGATTTGCAACTTTTAATGTCCGTTTTTTGTTTTCCTAATTCTTTAAATTTTTCGGTTTTTCTAAATTCTTCATTATAAGTTTTTTTTTTTCAATGTGAAATTTTTCAATTTTTTGGTTTTTCAGTTTTCCTCCAAAAAGACACACACACAGAGAGAGAGAAGAAAAAACGGGTTAGAAGAGAATATTGAAAAAATATAAAAGAAAAAAAAGATAGAGAGAGGAAGAGAAAACTGTAGAGATAGAAAGGAAACAAGAAAGAGAGAGACAAATATAAGAAATCATACGAAATAGAGAGAGAAAAAATGGTAGGGAAACGGAAAGAGCTGCAGTTAGAGCCCAAAAACCGGGAGGGACAGTGCGGAAATGACAGGAGTATAGAAAATGAAAAAAAAGAATGAATGAGAGGGAAGAAACGGACGAGAAAAAGGAAACGAGAAAAATAAAGAAAATGGTAATGTAAGAAAAAGAAAACGAAAGGGTGGTAGGAGAAAAGAGAGTGATGGAAAGAGGAAGAAGGGGCAAAGAATAAAACTATCAAATGAGAAGTGAAAGGGGAAGAGACCGCTAGAAAACAGATTATACAAAGCAAAATGGAAAGATAAGAAGACAACGAGAAAAAGAGGAGAGAAACTAACAAGAGTGAAGAAATGAGAGGAAAAGAGAGAGAGAGAGAGAGGAAATAATACTGAAATGAGAATAGGCAATATAAAGAGAGGAAGAGAGAAAGAAGAAAAAAAACGGGCGAGAACCGAGGAAACGAAAAAGCTAGAGGAAAGAGGAAAGAAAGAGTGAACAGGAGAGAGAGTCTGTGATGATAAGAAAGAAACGGAAAGGAAATGTTAGGGAGGAGGGGAGAGAGCGTCAGGTTAAGTTAAGGTCAAGTTAAGTTAAGTCAGTTCAAGGGTGGAATTTTTTTCTATAACGATAAAATATCGGTACCGATAAAATGTGATCATCTTTTTCTTTCACATCTGAAATTTATATTTTGATCCTTGTCATTTATCGCTTCGTTACTTAGTACCCATCTACAAAGAACTTTTGGAAAATAAAAAGAAATCTAAACTCCGTCAAAATCATCCTGGCGTCGACATCTCACTGAGCAGGGCTGCTTCGGATCCTGGAGAGGCCGCGACGCTGGAACAGGGGCAATACACTGAAAAATGGTGCAGACGCCAGGATAATAAACCATTTATTTCAATTACTCTCAAGAAACTTCGATATAAAGTGCTATATTTTAAAAGAAAATTGCAGTTTTTCAAAAACATCTTTTTTTCAAACCGATCGCGATTTTGTCATTTCCCAAAATCGATCTGATTACCCAAAGTCAGTCTAATCTTAGAAGCTACTAGATAAATACATAAATATAATAGATCCATCTCTTTCTATTGATGAGACATGTATACTTTGAGGCACATTAATGTCCTTTCCATTAATTGCATACAAAACCATCTTCACTTGTAAAATTGCTACGAAATGAAATGATCTGAAAAATCGGCTGTACACATATAGTTTTTAAAAGTATCTACAGTGTAAAAGGCAGCTTTAAAATAAATTTTAGAGCGAAAATGAGGTTTGTCTTCGCACGAATCTGGAAAAAAGAGGAAGTTGGTGGGGCGAGCCGCAGGTATGGTGCAAATTAGGAATCACCTAGTAAGTACGTCTCCTTTTTAAAATACTATAACCCGATTCTCCGTTTTTACAATACAATACGTTTCCAGACTTACCACATGATTGTTGAGCATGAAAGTGAGTGTGGCGGCGGGTCTGGCGGGCGGCGAAGTGCAATTCGCTCGCAGCACGTCTCCAATGTCGTAGAAACTCTTATCAGTGCTAAGTGTTGGAGGCTGTGCCGGCAATGCTGAAATAATTACAAAATAATCAGCGATAACAATACAGACCAGTGGCGGCTCGTCAGGGGGGGCCAGTTAGGCCAGGCCGAGTCTGTCACCGAACTTGTCAATTTGCGATATTCATTTTTATTTTAAACGCAAGAATATAATTTAAAGCTATTTTGAAATCACCTGATTTTACTGTTGTTATTATTTTTTTAATTACAAAAAGCGTTATCTAATTTATTCACTTTCGTTCGGAAGCACAAATCGTGCCGGGAAGTTTAAATATTTTTACTGCGAGGAGCAGCAGCTGAGGCCGGCCGACTACAAGAATAAACGTCGAATAATGTCATATCTGCTATCGCTCTCTGTTTAGCGGAATTAAAGAGAAATAGCTATAAAGACTGATACGTGTCTGATACCCTCTGATTAACGCGCCTGCAGCAGTGATTGGTCAAATGTCTGCTAAAATCGGCCGGCCTTTTGGCAGTACATCAAGTTGTTATAGCGCTATCACCTTCTGTTTGTATAAGTTAGAAGGCAATAGCGATGAAACCGTATAATATTACGTTTCATCACTCCACTTCTGCCGTGCACTTTTCCATGCGGTTCCCCACTACCAGCACCGGCCGGCCGCTGTCTGTATATTGTGAATTTCTGCAGTCTTCACGTGGATGAAATTGGTTTAGGTTTGTTTCTAATTTCAGTAACAATGACAACAGTTAGTAAGAGAATTAGTAACTGATTTAAATTTTGATGCTGTTACACATCTATTAAATAATGACTTTCGACTTTTAACATACGATGATCAATTCCTGGGATATAAAAGAAATGACCCGTTCGGAGCCGCGCATGCAACATTTAATCGAAGCACGGAGCAATAATAACGTCAGCTCCGGTGCAATAGCATATTAATAATTAATAATTAATACAGCATGGTATGAAAATTATGAATGGCTGACGGGGAGCAAGTCAAAAAACAAACTATTTTGTTGATATTGTTTAATTTTTGAATATGATGTTGACAATAAATTCAAAAAAACTTCAGAAAAAGAGTTTTGCCTCTGGTCGTCTGGTACGATTGACATATTGAGTTACCGTGCTCTTTTGCCATCTTCCTAATTTCTCAACCCTGCTCCTGATGATGCTACTTACGAAAATGTAGAAGCCTCCGAAATTATTTCTGTCTTTAATTTTAATCATATACCTACCATCCACATCAGCATATGTTGAACGCAGTTTTTCAGCTTTAAAGCGAATTACAAATTTTACTAGAAACTCCATTAGTCAAAATCGATTATCCAAATTATTCGTTTTAGCAATAGAAAAAGAAGTGCTTACAAACTTAACGGAAGATCAAAAGTTCTATAATCAAGTAATTGACCACTTTGCCAATACAAAACAAAGACGCATTGAATTGGTTTATAAAAATTTCTAATTTACTTTTTTAATTTTGTTTTTTACTAATAAATAGTTGTTGACGTTTCATGTTATATTTTTTGTTAGAATGTGTTACTTTATAACTTGAATGTTATTTTCATTTTTATTTGAGTTTATTGTCGTTATTTTATTATTATAGATGGCTTATATTGTATAAGTATATGCTTTACTTTATACCTATTTGAAGAATATTTTTTATTTTGTTTTACCAAGTTGTTAGGACTATATGAATTAACACCATACAGGAAGCAAATTATAGATAATGACTGACTTGAGGTCCCTGGTTCTTGTATTCTATGTCTTAAAACTTTGGGTTACTCACTGCTGGCCGACCCAACCAAAATAGTCACGAGCCGCCACTGATACAGACGCTGTTAAGTTAACGAGCTCCGGCGTAATTGAAATCGAATCTCACGAGGTATGCCATTTACGGATGAGCAGAGATCAAAGTGCTGACCACGATCGAAACAGCGAATGTCTTTGAGTAGGCACGACGACGTGGTCAAAGTCCAGTTGACTCACACGAAAGTGGTGGTTAATTTGACCGACCGATTTTCGAAAATTCGGTTTCCGCCTTGGTGCTAAACACAATGGCGTTGGCGCAAATTGAACTCGATTTGACTGATTGCGCTCAACCGGATGAACTTTTTTGTTTGCATAGTTTGTACTTACCGACAACCAACATGTCCTTGGACACAGCCGCCGTTTTAATGATGGACCCGTCGGTGGTCACTTCGCATGTAAACTTCCCGGAAAGGCTAAATCCCACTTCCCGCAGGACCACCTGGTGCTCGTTGGACTGCTTGAGCTACAATTCAATTTCAGTTAGACTATTATTGCACAGTTATCTGTAAATAATGTGTCGAGGGTTTTGCATAACTGAGTGCTCTTGCGTGTAGTGTTCTACAATGGTCGGATATCTAAACTGCACTGTGTACCAACAAATGACGTCAACAAATCACGCCGACGGGATCCCCAGGGCTGCACTGTAGGTATTTGATATTTACACGAACATACGCCTGAAAGCTGAGGCTTTTACAATGAATAATTTAACTGTTCGAATAATACAGACAATGAAGAGCTTACGGGATTAGAGCAGAGTAGTGTATATCAAAAGGTATTGTGTTGTGCTTTAGGGTTTCACTGTTTTGGACAATCTAATAAAACGATCACTGAAATTTCGGAAAAAAAAATTCTGGACAGAAATTTTAAATAAATTTATACCAAGATATCTACAAATAAAGAAAAAGTTGATCCTTCTTTCTTCAGAGACACAATACAACAAGACAGAGAAAAAATAAAACAGAAATACTAGTCTGAAAGAATTTTTAAGCAGCGTTATAATAATAATGGAAGCTTTATCCATTCAAAAAAAGACGATACAAGAATACTGATCCAATGCATTGGATAATATTTACATTTATTTGACACAAATAATAAATAACAAAGGACTTCTTCCCACACACAGCATACATCTCAATAAAGATTATTTAATTATAAAATATAAACAAGTATTTAACAGGGACAAATTAAATTAGTTAAACAATAAATTAATATTTCCGAGATAATCAATACGTTATCTTCAGACACCCTGTATGAACATCGAAGATAATTGCATTTTTTTAAATAGTTCATTTGAGTTTTTTTGAAGAGTATTAAAAAAAATGTATATAGTATCTAATTTGTTCTTGGCAAAAAATTTAAAAATTTCGACATTTTCTGTCTATCATCAAGTTTCAACGCATACACCACAGATAACAAAATGACAAAACAACTGCATTTTCGTATTCTTCAACCTGAAAGCAATGAGAATGGGAGAAGAAAAGAGAGAAGAAGAGAAAACAGAAGAAAGAAAGAAAATAAAAAAAATCAAACGAGAAAGAGGGAAAGAAAGAGCCAATGAGAGCAAGCGAAAGACACAGAGAGTAAAGAGAAGGAAAGAAATGGAAGGAAGAGAGATGAGTAAGGGACGAAAAAGCAGAAAAAAGAGATGAATTATGAGAAGAGAAAAAAGGGGGATGAAACGGAAAAGAGGAAGAAGGAATGAATAAGGAGGCAAAGAGAAGTGCGAAACAAAAGGGGAAAGAAGAAACAGAGAAGAAATGAGACAGAGGAAAGATAAAGGATTGAGAGAAAGGGCAAAAAAGGGCGAGAGAAATTTTTTTTCAAAAATCTAGACATCTGATCTAAACAAAAATGCTACAAGTACAGAAACACATTATTTTATCAAATTTGAATAGGATTTACTTGACAAAATTTTGAGATGTCTATCAAACTTTGGTTAGCGTCTAAACATTTATACTCAAAATTCCAAAGGATTCGATTCGGTAGTTTCAGAGATTACTTGTTTAATAACGCAACCAACAGACAGGCAGGCAGACAGACACACGGCAAAGCAGAAGAGGACAGAAGAAAGGAACGAATGAGATAGACAAATGGACAAAAATAAATAGCCGAAACAAGAGTAAAATAGAAGAATGGAAAGAAAGAGGAAAAAACTGACTAGTCGAGAGAAATGAGAGAGATAAGGGTGAGTGAAAGAGTGAGAGAAATGGGGGAAATGGAAATGAAAAAGCAAAAAAGGAAAGAAGAAAAAAACCACAAAAAGAAACAAAATAATAGGGAGGTTAAATAAGAAAGGGAGAGAGAACTACCAAGAGAAAGCAAAAAAGAGAAAACAAAAGAGAAAGGGCGTGAAAATTAGAGGAAGAACATGGGAAGAAACTGGTGAAAGGAGAGAAATAAGAATAAGGAGAAGGAGTGACGCAGAAAATAGAAGAAATAGACACAACGCAACGGGATGACGCAGACGAAAGGAATGAAACAAAGGAGATGGGGGAAAACTAAAGAAAACGGGAGCTGAAAAGGAAAAAAGGATGAGAAAATGGCCAAGGAAGAGAAAGCCGTAAAAAGAGAGGAATTGGAAGAGCAGTGGGAAACAGGAAGAAAGAGAGTAAACGAGGGAAAAAAATAAATAAGAGAGAGGAGAGCAGAAAAATTGAGGGAGAAGAATAGAAAAGAGACACACGACGGAAATAGGGGAAACCGAAAGAGAACAGGGGTGGAAATTAGAGGACGAACATGGGAAGAAAATCGTGAAAGGAAAGAAATAGGAGTATGGAGAGAGAGTCACGGAGAAAATTGAAACAATAGACACGACGGGAAGAAACAGGCGAAAGGTGTGAATATAAGGAGATGGGGAAAACTAAAGAAAAAGGAAGCTAAAAAGGAAAAAATGATGAGAAAATGGGTAAGGAAGAGAAAGCAAGAAAAAGAGAAGAATTAGGAGAGCAGTGAGAATCGGGACAGAAAGAGACTAAACGAGAGTGAAAAAATTAATAAGAAATAGGAAAGCAGAAAAATTGAGGGAGAAGGGGAGAGAGCAAAGAAGGGAAATAAGAGATAGCGAAAAAGACACAGAGAAAAGGAGACAGAGTGAGAGAAAATGGGAGCAGATAAAGTGGAAATGGATAAACGAGCAAGAAAGTAGGAAAAGTAGGGGAATTAGAGGAAGACTGGGAAATGGGAGAAGAAGAGACCACACAGCAGAAAGAGAGGAAATGAGAGAAAAGGAAAAAGAAATAGTGAAAACGGGGCAAAATAGAAGAATGTAAACAAGACAACGAAAAGAAAAAGAGGGAAAAACGGGAGTACTAAGAAACGAAAAGGTCAGGTAAACGAAAGACAAAGGGAGAGGAAACAGTGTATTGGGGACGAAAATAGGAATGGAAGAGAAAAATGAAAAAAAAGAGAACACAGTAGGAACGAAAAAAATTAGAAAATGGACAAATGAGATAGAGAGGGATAGATAAAGACAACGGGAGAAAGGGAGAGAGCGAAAGAGAAATATTAGAAAATGCGGCAAAATGGGAGGAAGAGAAACAGGGGAGGAAGAAACGAGCTGAAAAGAGAAATAGAAGGAACAACAAAGAGTGCAAAAGAGGAAGAGGAAATAAAAGGAAGAAAGAGACGGAGGATAGAAACGAGTGAGAGAACAGAAACCTGAGAAATAAGGGGAAGCAAAGAGAGAGGAAGAGAGAGATGAAACGGAACAAATGAAAAAGAGACAGAGAAAGAAGAAGGAAATGAGAGAAAGCGAAAGGAAGCCAACAGAAGAGAGAGTCAGATAGAAGGTAAGAAAATGGACGGAACAGAGAGAGAATGACAAAAATAGAGAGGACGAGAAAACGATAGAGTTGAAACAGGAAACAGCGGAAGAAAAAAGGGGATGAAATGTGGAAGCAAGAGAGAAACGTGAAGAAGAAACGGACGAAAGATGACAAACAGAGGAAATAAGGGACACGAAAGAGACGGAAGGAAAACCGGAAAAAAGAAAGAGGAAGTGGGTACGGGGGCGAAAAATCAGGAAAAATAGGAGAATCAGTAGTGGAATGGAAAACGGGAGAGGAAAAGGAGAAATGAGACAGATAAAACATAAATAAGTGAGAGCAAAAAAGAAAAGAACAGAGTGATAGAAAGTTTCAAAAAATCTTTATATTTGACGTAAACAATTAGAATAAATTAATAAAGAATTTAGAAAAATGGAAAAAGAAGGAAAAGAAACGGCGGAGTACTAAGAAACGGAAGAGATCGGGTAAACGAAAGAAAAACAGAGAAGAAACGGAGAATGTGTAGCGCAAATGGAAAAAAGAAGAAAAAATGTAACCGGTAAGAATGAAAAAATAGACAAGGGACAAATGGGGAAGAGATAGAGACAATAGAGACAATAGGAACAAGTAAAAGGAAAATCCAGTAATAGAGAATGTGAGCAAATCGAAGGAAGGGAAACAGGCGAGGAAGAAACGAGCTAAAAATCGGAAAAGAAAGAGAGGCGGTAAGAGCCGGGTGAGAGAAGAGAAACCTAGGAAATAAGAGAAAATAAAGAGAAAAAAATAAAACAGAAAAAAGAAGAGAAAATCTATGAAATCGGTAAGGAGGCGAAATATCAGGAAAAGAGAGGAATCAGAAAAAAAGTGGGAAACGGGAGAGGAATAGCGAAGAAAAAGAGGAAATAACAGAGTGGACAAATAAAAGAGAGAGAGAAGAAGAAAATGGGAGAAAGCTAAAGAGGGGAACAGAAGAGAAAGTTAGATAGAAGCCAAGGAAATTGATATAAAAGAGATATAAAGGGAAGAAAAAAAAGAAATAAGGAAAATAGAAGAAACAAAGAAGAAAGAGGGACGGAACAGAAAAAAGGAGAAGAAATGGGTAGGATGGCGAGTAAGCAGGAAAAATAGAGAAATTAGAAGAGTGGGAAAGGGAGATAGAAAAAAGAAATAAAAGAGAGGAAATAATAAAAATGGAAAGAGACCCAATGAGAGAAAACGAAAGAAGTGAAACAGCGGACAATGGAAGAAAGCATTTAAAACTCAAAACTTGAGCGCAATCGGTTCGGTAATTTCGGAATTATATATTTATTGAAACAACCAATAGACAACGAGGTAGCCATAGATAGACGACAAAGCGGAATAGGACACAAAAAAAGGAAAGAGTGAATGAGATAAAAGAGGACGTAAACATAAAAAAAAATAAAACAGAAACATGGAAAAAGATCAAGGGAAAGAAACGGTCGGTAGGTAAAGAGGAAAAGAGAAAATGAGAGGAAATGAAAAACGTAAGAAATAAAGAAGTAAGAGAAAAAAGGAAAGGAAGGAGAAAGTAAACTGTAGAAGAGAGAAAATTGGAGGAATGAATAAAAGAAAACGGAAGGAATGGAAGTTAAAAAATGGACGACCAGTTAGAAACAGAAGGAGATACTGCAAACAGAAGAGAAAGAGAGATGAAATGGTGATAGAAATATGAAAGGGA